TCCCCTCCCGCCCCCCACCCCCCAAAAAGTGTCTCTGGTTCATAGTTTTTTGTTGATTTTGATTTTCACTTTCTTATATTCATTTTCCTGGTCCCTTATTTAAGTTTTCTAGATTCCTGCTATGAGTGAGACCATCCGGTATTTTTCTTTTTCTTTTTGGCTTATTTCGCTGAGCATGATCCCTTCCAGCACCATCCATGTTGCTGCAAATTGCATGTGTTTATCTTTTTTGAATGCTGAGTAATATCCATGTATATATGTACCATATCTTCTTGATCCAGTCATCTATTTTTGGGCATTTGGGTTGTTTCCAAATTAGCTATTGTAAACAGTGCTGCTATAAACATAGGAGTGCAGGTGCTCTTTGGAATTGATGTTTCTGTGTCCTTTGGGTAAATACCTAGGAGTGGAATTGCTGGATCATATGGAAGCTCTATGTTTAGTAGGTCCAGAAATCTCCACACAGCTCTCCATAGTGGTTGGACCAGTTTGCACTCCCACCAACAGTGCAGAAGAGTTCCTTTTTCTCCACATCCTCGCCAACATTTGTTGTTGCTAGTTTTTTTAATATGTGCCATTCTCACTGGTGTGAGATGGTATCTCATGGTAGTTTTGATTTGCATTTCCCTGATGACAAGTGATGTTGAACATTTTTTCATATGTCTGTTGGCCATTTGCATTTCCTCTTCAGAGAAGTTTTTTTTAGCTCTTCTGCCCATTTTTTGACTGGATTATTTTCTTGGTTGTTGCTGAGTCTCATCAGCTCTTTGCAGATTTTGTGATCAGTCCTTTATCATTAGTGTTGGGGTGCAAAATGTTCTCCCAGTTGGTGGGGTTTCTCTTTGTTTTTGTTATTGTCTCTTTTGCTGTGCAGAAGCTCTTTAATTGATGTAGTCCCAGCTGTTTATCTTTCTCTTCACTATCACTGCTTTGGGTGATGTGTCTGTAAAGATGTCTTTGATGTGCAAATCACGTAGTGTTTCGCCTATATTTCCTTCTGTGTATTTTATGGTTTCAGGTCTTATGTCTAGTTCTTTAATCCATTTTGAGTTGATTTTTGTGTATGGTGTGAGGTAGTGGTCAAGCTTCATTCTTTTGCATGTAGCGACCCAGTTTTCCCAGCACCATTTATTGAACAAACTTTCTTTGCTCCAATGCATAGTCTTTGCTCCTTTGTCAAAGATTAGTTGACCATAAATCTGTGGGTTTATTTCTGGATTTTCTATTCGATTCCATTGGTCTGTATGTCTGTTCTTGTTCCAATACCATGCAGTTTTGATGATTATGCTTTGTAGTAGAGTTTGAAGTCTGGAGTGTGATGCCTCCATTTCCTTCTTTTTTTTTTCAGTAGAGCTTTGGCTATTCGGGTTTTGGTGATTCCATATGAATTTCATCAATAATTGTTCTATTTCTTTGAAGAATGCCATTGAGATTTTGATTGGAATAGCATTGAATCTGTATATTGCTTTTGGTAGGATGGCCATTTTAATAATGTTTATTCTTCCAATCCATGAGCAGGGATGTCTTTCCTCTTTGTGTCTTCTTCTATTTCTTTTAACGTTTTATAGTTTTCTTTGTATAGGTCCTTTACCTCTTTTGTTAGATTTATTCCCAAATATTTGATTTTTTTTATTTCGATATTAAAAGGGGTGGTTTTTTTGATTTCTTCTTCTTCAGATTTATTGTTTGTGTATAGGAAGGCTACTGACTTTTGCATGTTGATTTTGTATCCTGCCACTTTACTGAATTGATTGATGAGTTGAATTAGTTTTTCTGTGGAGATTTTGGGTTCTCTATGTATATTATCATATCATCTGCAAATAGTGATAGTTTGACTTCTCTTCCTATTTTGGATTCCTTGGATGCTTTCTCTTGTCTTATTGCTCTGGCTAGGACTTCCAGTATTATATGAAAAGCAGTGGTGAGAGTAGACATCCTTGTCTTGTTCCAGATCTTAATGGAATTGCTTTCAGCTTTTCACCATTGGAGAATGATACTGGCTGTGGCTTGTCATAGATGGCCTTTATGATGTTGAGGTATGTTCCTTGTATCCCAAGAATTTCAAGGGCTTTTATCATGAATGGGTGTTGCACTTTGTCGAAAGCTTTCTCAGCATCTATTGATATTATCATATGGTTTTATATTTCTTTTGTTGATGTGTTGGATAACGTTGATTGATTTTCGGATGTTAAACCATCCTTGTGCCCCTGGAATGAATCCAACTTGGTCGTGGTGAATTATCTTATGGATACATTGTTGGATTCTGATAGCTAAAATTTTATTGAGGATTTTTGCATCAGTGTTCATTAGGGAGATTGGCCTATAGTTTTCCTTTTTTGTGTTGTCCTTATTCGGTTTTGGTATTAGTGTAATATTGGCTTCATAGAACGTGTTTGGTATTGTCCCTTCCTTCTCAATTTTTTGGAAGAGTTTGTGAAGGATAGGCACTAATTCGTCTCTGAATGTTTGGTAGATTTCATTTGTAAAATCCATCAGGTCCTGGGCTTTTGTTTTTGGGGAGTTTTTAATTACCATTTCAATTTGCTGCTTGTAATTGGTCTGTTTAGGTGTTCTATTTCTTCTTTATCTAGCTTTGGGTGATTGTAGAGTTGTAGGAATTTGTCCATCTCCTCTAGATTGTTGAACTTGTTTCCATATAACTGTTCATAGAGTTACTGATTATTCTTTTGATTTCTGCTGTGTCCGTTGTGATTCTCCTCTTCATTTATGATTCTGTTATTTGTGCTTTCTCCCTTTTTTCCTTGTGAGCCTGGCTAGGGGTTTGTCTATTTTATTATTTTCAAGAACCAGCTCTTGGTTTCATTGATCTTTGGATTGTTTTTTAGTTTCAATTTCATTTATTTCTGCTTTGGTTTTTATTATTTCTTTTCTTCTACTGGTTCTTTCCCAAGTTTTTTAAATGCAACATTTCTCCAAACTTCTGCTTGTAAGTCATTATTTAGAGATATTTTAAGGGATTCACTGCTATTTTAAGATGAATAATGTTATCTAGGGTATGTATGTCCAAACTCAGTTGTTCTCTGCTGGCTCACAACAGGATTGCTGTGTGAATCTTCTTTCTTTGTTCCCTCTTCAGATATGGTTCTTGACCAACAAGTGAGCTCAGGTCAGCTCAATGAGGATGTGCGTCACAGGGTCCATGAGGCACTCATGAAACAGCACCACCACCAGAATCAGAAAAAGCTCACCAATAGGATTCCCATTGTTCGTTCTTTGCTGATATTGGCAAGAAACAATCAGAACCAAATTCCATGGATAAAAATGGTAAATGTTTTTTTATTGTGTTCTTTATATCTACTACAGGTTATTGAAATAACAAAGTGTTTCTAGATCCCTTACAATACATTTTAATCAAAATGATTTATTGAAGTTGAGATTGCTGTAGAATTTTTTCATATACATATATAGTCTTACTAGTAAGCAGTAAATTGAGACATTTTAACAAAAATATAAGTTTCTTAAAAGGTTCATGACAGAATGCAAGGGAAACTTTTATATAATAAGAACTTGTAGACCCAACTTGAGCAGCAACTGCTAGTCTTTTCCACAGCTTGAGAATGTAACACAGTGATTTGAATTATTACCATAGATAGTTTGTTAAAATGAGTAATGATCACAGATTTGTATTTGGGGGGAAAAAGATTTTGGTTTCATGTTGCTCATAGTAAACAAATACCATTAGAGATTGCAATGAAAATGGTCAACTGTTGTAGATCTACATATATTAAGTCTGATTTGGAGTTCATGGGCTTATTGCTATTAGCAGTGCTGCTTCTTCACTCAAGAAGCCACCACACTTACTAGTTTTGCATACTAGCATATATGGCCTCTGCTGTTTTCTAGCAATCATGACTTAACTTTGTACAGTCTGGGCTTCAGATTATTTTATCCTTCCTGTGTTTTTTATTCTCCCCTTATATCCATTACCTTTCATCATTTATACTAAGGAATTATCTTAGGACTCTCTTATTATCTTCTATCCTTTCATTAATCATATGAAGGAAAATGGAGTTGTAATGGTGGAGGAAATTAGTATTGTCATGAGGATGAATTTGCTAGACTTTTATCAACTATGAAAGTTCCCACTTCTAAAAGATAAAAATGAATGAAAAGTATTTTCAAATGCTTTTTTAGAAAGACTGGCTTCCCCAAGCGGACTAAAGCACATATATTGGCAAGATGGAATGAATACTTTATGTAATATCACTCCAATTTTCAAAAAATTCAGAGATACTATAAACAAATACATGAAAATTAGTTTTTCCCAGATTTCACTGATATCAGAATTTTTGCCACTTTTCATACTACTGAATTAAATATATGCAAACAAATAGTAGAAATGCTTTACTGAATTGATGAAAATAGGTAGATGTACTATTATTTAAGAACATAAAATCAGTTTTTAATGATTTTTGAAATATCTATTTGATTTATTTTTTTTATTTTTTTAAAGATTTATTCATTTATTTATACAAGCACTGGGTACAGTCAGAAGTGCGGGAGGTGAGATAATTCACCAGAGCCAGAGCAGGGAGCAGGGAGAAGAACAGGCAGAAGGACTGAAGTACACTGCTGAGGGAGCAGCAGGCAGCGGGAGAGGTCTGCGTGCCATGTGGACCCTCGCCCGGTGGCTGGGGATCAAACCGGTGCTGCAGAGGCTGCGGGCAGCTTCGCAACCCAGCGCTCAACCACTGAGCCACCGGGGAGGCCCTCTATTTAATTTTTAAAAGGCCCTTCAATGACTAATGAAAGTCATTTTTATTATATAGTAGAGTCTGTAGTTGTAGGGATATTAAATTCAGTATAAGTATTATGAGCACTTTATGATATATACCAACTTGTATTTATAGATTCCACTGAACATTTTGAGAATGTATAACTTGCTTTGAATCACATCATCTATTTAAAATATATTCATTTTCTAAATCACAATTTGCTTTAAAATATGTTATACATAAAATTGGCAAAATGAAACTTTTATATTCTGAGACCTATTATAAATGTAGTGCTTTTACTATGTGACAATACTAGTATTTATTTGGTATGATGATATTAAGAAAACAGACTCAGAAAGGTATTAATTTTGACTATGGGCTTCTGTTTACACATTTGCAAAGTTCTTATTGAAATGTTTGTATGAACTAGTGCTCAGTGGGTGCAAACACATTTTATGAAAATAAGCTTCCTTCATTTTTAGTTCACTTTTACCAGAAATTAGATGATAAAATATTTGTCAATAAGAATGATAATATTTTTATTTAAAGATATAAACAGCTTGGGTCATGAACTAGATTTAATGTATAACTAAGATTTATGGAAAATAATGTTTATTATAAAATAATTTTAACATGCTTTTGGAAGGACAAGTACTGAATTTACTGGATCAACCAAATTTTTATATTAGCACCCTATTTGCTATTATGTTAAACACCTACTAAACATAAGAGATGCTAGAATTATAGCCATGAATCGCAAGTCTACATATAGATACAAGGTTTCTGAGAGTCTGGTTTTGGTCTTATTCAGGCAACTGCTTAGTTTCTAAAAACTAGAATGTGAGTAGTTCTGAAGTGATTCTGTCACCATCTGTACAATCAGCCCTTATCTGAACACATACAGATCCACTCAAAGCATACATTAGGGTAATAAAAACTTGGAAACATTTCTAATAAGATTCATATATCCAATTAAGTATTGTTTGAGAGTATGCTGTCAGAGTGGTTTTCTAAGCCTAGGCTTATAACACCTCCTTGTGACTCTGTTTTGCTTCCTCACACACTTTGCATAATTATGTGTGTTGAGAATTCTGAAAATATGTATAGTTTCACCAATTTAGAAATACATCTCCTACCCAGAAGTGGGAAAAAGTGTGAAAGACCTTTATTACTAAGGTTCTCAATCTACTTATGAACTCAAAAAACTGACAAACTCTAGATAAACAAACAAATTGAAATTCATAACTGTAAATATATATTTGACATTCTGTCTCAAAATATGCAATAGAGCTTTAGTTTTTGGGCAGTAGTACAGAGAGATGCAAAAGGATTTTAAGACAGCCAAAAGAGTAAAAATAATTTTCTTCCTATTAAAATCCCTTCAATAAAGTGTTTCATGCAAAAGGTTAACTTTTTTTTTTCTTTTTTAAGATTGTAGAATGGGATTTAAATAGAGTGAGGATTTCTAGAAACTTGAAAACAAAACATTTTCCTTCCCAAGTATAAAGATGGAAATAAGCCCACTCTTGCTTAATATACTTTACTTTGGAGACAAAATAGTTGAAATTTTCTCAGAAATGAATTGATGCTTATGTAAAGAAATCTAACGTCTATTAGAGTAAGTTTTCTGTTTCCTTAATGGATTTGTTCCTTGAGCAGGTACCCTAGGTAGTAGTCCTAAGGGGTTAAACATTCAGATACTATATTTCAAATGCAAATCTCCCTCATATTATAGATTAGATTTACTATGTATTTCCTGCTGTTTGCCCCCTAGTCCACACTATTTTGTTAGTAAATCCTTTTAGGGATTTGCGATAATTTGTCGATCTCACCTCCAAATACACTAGCTTTACTTTTTTGTATAATTTATTTTCTTGGTGTTCTGCACATTCTCTTAAGGGCTAAGATACAGGATGCTATGGATTCACCATGCATTTTTAATGCCACCATGCTGTGTTTAACTTTCACTTTTCATTAAGCATCAAAACTGTGAGAATTAAGTGTCTGATTCTGATGTTTCAATAAAAAGTGACAGTTACATTTGGCAAAACAACAGAAAAAAATAATAGGAAAATAATATCTTCTTTATCATTAGAACCCTGAAAAGAATATGGCTGGGAGTACTCTAAATATATCAAGAATGTTCAATGAATTCATTGAAAACTTGGATTTTCTAAAAGCAGTAATAAGACTTTTGGGTTAAACGATCTAGAGAGAAAAATATATCAAAGTTTGTATTTATCATTTTGGTCATGCATTCAACTGTATCTTGAGACATTTGAATTAAAATTAGTATAAAATATCATTACCCTGTTGATAAACTTCATATTTAAAAAAAATCAGAACCCTTAGGTTCCTTAAGTGTAGGATGTCTACATTCCATTGTGTCCTTTACTAATAATTCTAACTTTGTTTCTTTTTCTTTACAAATGTCATTTCTCCCTCCTAATACAAATACTTTCTAATTGTACCTTTTATTTAGGACCTCAAAAGGAGTTACAAAGCAGGAGTTCTCAGATTTACTCTTAAAGATGTGGGTTCCTGGAGAACCTTTAGATTTGTAAGGAGGGGGTGTGTATTGACTTTTTAGACTTGCGTAGACTCCAATCCTTAATGTACATGAAGTATTGTGAATGACTGTTATTTATGACTTTAGGAAGTCAGCTTTATTACTTTCTAATCACTTTTTAAATTTTTTTACAAGTGCTCTACTTTTTATTTTCAGATGCACAATGCTTTTATGTGTGTTTAGATATTTAGATGCTGTCTTATCTTTTAAATACTGTGATCTCACAAGTAAGATACCAAGAATATAAAAATTATCCCTTATAGTGTTCTACCTTTGAAGAAAATAAGGTATAATTATTCCTGGACTTACTTGAGAGAAAACATGTAATTGATAAAATTCAATGTGTACTAAAAGTATTTTCCACTGTACAAAAAAAAAATCAAGATGACAGTGTTGGCACAACCAATGGATCTGTTTAGAGGCTTTATTTTGGAATGTCAAGACTAGATCTTAACATAAAAAATATTTATAATATGAGGGCTTAAATTTGTTATTTCTTATATTAAGTATTTTCAGGTATATTACCTTTTCTGAATTTAATTATTATCCTAGGTTCCTTAAGATTGATTACATAGTTTCCTGTTTGAAGGATAGCTCACCTAATCAACATTTTCTGAATATTTAACCTTTCTTTCTTCATGTTTTCTATTCCCATGAATAAATGTATTGTTACACATGTATGTAACTTTGTCATTCATCTTTATATTTCTTTATTTTGCTCTGTCTTGTGTCTGTCTCTAACAGGCTCATCTCATCTCTGTACCTCCCTCATCTCCTAACCTTTGGGTACTCTAAATGCGTTGAAGGTTTCTGAGGTAGTGTAAACCAGCTTGGTCTCTAGGTGAATAGTAATGTACCTCTATGTCTTCATCCCAGTTTCCTTCTATTACACATAATTTTCAGTGGATTAAGCAGTAACAATTGTATACTTACGTGATATATTTTTACTATTGATTTGAAATTGGCCACATAAAAATTAAAAAGCTGCTGTTTTACAAAATATGTGTACATCATTTGTTTAAAAAAGAATAAAACTATAGGTAAGGATTTGAATTCATTAATATCAGGTTTTTTGAGAACATATTTACAGTAGTGTTTTAATAAGATACTTTAGTGAACTGACACTGCTTAAAGTCTTGAAGTGTAGTACTTGGGGACATAATCTCATATTACTTCCCCCACCACTTTATGATGAGGGGAATGACTATGCCAGTTTCACGATGGACTTAGTGAAAAAATATGCTTTCAAAAGCAGAAAAACAGAGCTTCCATTTTCTAGATGGTAGTCACTTGAATTGCTCTTCATTCTTTCCTGGGATTGCCTCATATCTTCTATGGTTTGCCCTGGAAAAATACATGGTCCATCTGTACATGTGTTTATTTGATTGATATATTATCCCTACATGGAGGTCTGGAGGAAAATATAAATTCATGACTCAAAGGAAAATTTTCATTACAAATATGTATTCTACATAGTAAACACTTTAACTGATATTATATAACAAATATTAGAATTTTGGATGTAGGATGGTGAACTCTTTGAGTTGAAAAGATTGGAAATAGGCATATGTGGTAAATTAATAAGAATAATGCTAATTTCTCACATGTCTACATTTTAGTCATAGACTCTTTTCAGTTAACAGTATTAATACTAATATCAATACTAATGGTGTCCACTTTTCATCAGCTTTTAAGTAATTTCTCTGAATGTAATAATATCACTAAATTAATAATTTGTTTTTTGGGGAGGTATGGTCACTTTCACATATCACAATTATTTAGATATAATAACAGATCAAATTGAACATTATAGTGATAATGGGAGCCTGGCTAGCTCAGTCAGTAGAGCATGAGAGTTTTAACATTACAATGGTGCTTACTTACAGGATATATTAATATGGTCAGTGACCAGTGGGAAAAAGTGAAGGTAAAATTTAAAAAAATAGTTTTATCCAAAGTAGAAAAATATAAATAAACAAGAACATGTATATTTACAAGTGTTAAGTCATAGTTATTAGAAAAAGTCATCATAAAAAATTAGTATTCACAAAACTTCCATACATATGTATAAGTCCTAAATCCTTACTTTATACTATTTATTTTTAACTGCTTATAAAGTCTTAATGTCTGCTTTTAGGAGACATTCACTGCTGGTAGAATATAAAATCCTGTATCTGAAAATTGTCATTTCATGAACTACTATTATTTTAGATGTCAGTAAAAAGATAAGGTTGTCTTTTCAATACCTAAATTTACTGATTCTTCTTCTATAGTAGTATTTGAGTTTACGAAAGTCATTTTGAAGTTCAAAATGACTGTCTTCTGAAAGGCAGTAATCATTGGAATAAACTAAAGAAATCAGTATTTAGACAAAGATTATACTTGGCAACAGAATTTTAAAAAATTGATTCATGAGATTTCCAATAGTTTAATAGACTGTAAGTCTTGTGGATTTCTCAAAATACATTAGCATTTATAGGAGAAAGCACAAGTGCCAATGTTTTAAACATCCATATGAGTAATGTATGAAAATGTTCTCCTTTTAAAGTATATATATGTATATATATATGAAAATGTAGGTTATTAAATTTCTTCAAATTTTAAGTAACATATTTTGATCTTGAATTCAATCTTGAATTCAGTCTTCAAATTTCATGGTTTTTGTCTTGGGCTGATTTTACTTTTGTATGTTTGTTGATTGAATTAAATAATTGTTATTCTCCGCCCATGTAGTTTTTATGCCACATGGAATAAATTATCATAAGAAAGCACATATATGTTTATTTAATTTTCCATGCCCAATTTTCACCATTTAATTTTCAGAACAGTCAGTAAATTTAGGTTTAAATATATCTAATGTTCTAACTCATGAAAATATGGAGAAATGATGTGAAACTGGTGATTGAAGACATCTGTTAGTAGCACAAATGCATTATGTAAAAGGTTTTTTAAAAAATTGCAGTTATTATTTTGAGAATGATAAATTAAGTGGCTGCTAATGAACAGTTCACAGTCATAGCTGCATATTGCAGTTAGAAATGGGAGAATGAAAATAATTGATGCAGTTTTAATCTGTCATTTTTCTGAAGTTTATATAGCCTTGGAATATTCCATAATCAGAACTTGCATACATGGTTTGAGGCAAATTTGCTTTAGAAAGTCATGTTTTAAATCTTCACCATATATTATTTTTACTTTGTCTAGTAAGAGCAGAGAAATATTAAAGTTCTAGAAGAATCACAAACCAATAACTTTTCAGAAACACAACAATTTTGAGCTTGAAATAATTGTACCTATTTAATAATTTGTCTCGAATAGTCTCAAAAACAAAATTATAGTAATATTTGTACATTAGTGGTGATTCTAGGTAGCAAAGAGTAAGTGGGATTTCAGGAGAGAACTTAAAGAAAATATTTGTATATACACTGATAGTTTAGATAAGCAATGCAATAGAGGAGACGAGACTAAAGTTGAATTGTGAATAAAATTGGTTGGTAGGGAGAAGAGGTAGGTGGCAAGAGGGAGATAACATTTCCAGATGTTCGAGATTGATGTAAAAGCAATGTTTTGGAATCACTGAGTTATTATAAATATGATTAAGGCACTCAAATTTAAGTTGCCATTACTCATTTCACAGCCAAAGTAACACATGAGCATGGGGGAGAGATTAGAGAAGTAGAGAGATACATGTGAAATTTAGCAAACCCCCTTAATTTTATCATTTAATTGTTAACTATGGACAGATTTTAGATAAGTTTTGATTGCAAAGAATATTTTATACTTAATGAATAATTGAATTTAATAACGCTTAGTTAGCAATTTTCATATTCCCAGCTCTACTTTCTACTTAACTAATACTGTAATTTTCCCTATAATAGGAAAGAAACTACAAAATAATTTAGTTGCTGGTTAATGTTAATGGAAAGCTAATACAATTTCAGTTTGTTATCTTTTCTTATGGAAGCCAGTATTATTATGCTTATGCAACTGAATTTAGCAAACATGAAATCATATTCACAGTGTGGACTGTGTCAGAGGAAGGTATTTCTAACTGAACCTTTCATATAAACTCTCTAAAAGTTATTGTCAAAGAATCTTTTTTACTGATTTCTTTTTTTAAATGCAATTGAAGCATAAATATGCTGTGTATTTCTCAAATACATATATTCTACTCCTGTTTTTAAACTTTGACATTTCAAGTTCTCCTGTATGAGTTTAAATCACAATAGATGTTTATTTGGTCTTCTTTATATATATGTTTCAACAGTTTTGGATAAAATTGAGAAGTCAGTGATATTTCAAAACCATGATTAGATTTAAGCATATATTTTTTAAAGATTTATTTATACAAGAACTGGGGTACAGTCAGAGGCACGGGAGGGTGAGAGAATTCACCAGAGACAGAGCGGGGAGCAGAACAGGCAGAAAGACCAAAGACACTGCTGAGGAGAGCAGCAGATGAGCCTGGAGAGGTCTGCTTCACCATGTGGGTTGCTCCCTGGCCGGCCGGGGATCGAACCCTCACTGCAGAGGCTGTGGACAGCTTCACAGCGCAGCGCTCATCCCACTGCACCACTGGGAGGCCCTGATTTAAGCATTTTTGTAGGTGATCATTTTCATAGAGAATGGTTAGAGTTTTAATCTGAGAATTGGTTTACATCTTCTTGACTATATTCTCCCATTTCTATCTGTAACTGATAAATAAGAATTTTTGTAACGACATAGGTATATTTATATTGGCCTTTCATGCTTACCTCATGAGCTCATTAAGAAATCCTAGTCTAGTTTAATTCATATTTCACTCAAAATGTCTATAATTATAAGTAACTGTTTATGTTCTGTAATAACAATCTCTTTTAGCAGGTCAGGTTGCTTCTCCTCAGTCTGCTCTAGCCTGTGTTGAAAATAAAAATGATGTGAGCAGAGAAAACAGCACTGTTGACTTTAGCAAGGTAAGTCTTTTTCCCTTTCATTTAAGCAAGACACTGTATTAGTACTATTCATTTTAAGAAGTGATAATACAATTTTTATATGCATTTTTTGTTTCTTAGTAAAAAATTGATATTATTAAAGTTAACATTTAAGTATACCCATAGCATTTTGATTATTCGTAAAACCAAACGTGTAAATTTTATGCATAGTACTTAAGTTTCAGCCACTTGGTTTAATGTATATTATCCAAAAAAGACACATACTTTTGAGAAAGTTATACAAAGAATAACTGGACTTCACAGATAATTTAACACAGGTTTACTGTTTAAAACTTTTGCTAATTTTTTTTCTAAAATCACTTCCCCTCCATTTATGGGAAAGCAAATCACATGGTGTAAGACTTCATTATCACAATTTAGAGAAAAACATTAGTGTAAAGAAAGAAAAGAACATAGTAAGACTGAGCACTTTGAATAAAATCAAGGGGGGGGTGAGGATTGTATGGGGACTATAACCAAGATGAAAATGCATGCATTGTACAAAAATGAAAAATGATGTAAAATATATAAAATAAAATAATAACCAAAAAAAATAATCAAGACTGACTCTGTTGGGAACATCTAATTTGAAACAATTCAAATGAACTCACCCACTTAAATGTATTCAAAATTTAAAAAAATATGTCTGAAAATATTTTGGTTAGCAAATTCCTGACTAATGTATAAGTGCTGTGGCAAACTAACACTTATACAGGAAAGCGGGCTTTCAATATCGTCCAAAATAAAGGGTTCGATAAGTCTTTTTGTCTGAGTGGCTGAAACAATAGTAATTCAGAGTAATATTTTTCTTGATCAATCACTTCGCATTGATGATGAATTTTAACAGTGGGAGGCGGTGGGAATGGCAGTGAGCAATAAGGAAGTAGCCTACATCAAATGGCAGAAAAAATTAGTAGCTATAAGCTTCTTCTTGCTGATACAGAGTCTCTCTGCCACTGCCTAAGTAAATGGTCTAGGTCTAGTCACGTGCGTGCTCTGCCTCCTGTGCCTGGCAGAATCTCCGTGGGAGTATGGTGTACCAGCTTAAGTCTGTTAATTATGCGTGCAGGGACTGGGAGGCCAACAAAAGGGGCATACTAGTCCATGTGGGATGAAACAAAGGCATGAAAAAGGACCTGCACACCAGCAAGAGAGAGAGGTGAGGGCATCCTCGGGCTATGTTTCTACAGTGGTTCAAAGCTCATTTCACTGTGAGGAGTCATGTGATTCAAATATTATGCCAGTTCAAATGTATTTCATTTGCCACTTCAAAAAAAAAAAACTTTTTCCAGCATTACATCTTCATTCATCTTGAGTTTTAATGAAATTGTCACAAACTGCTATGCATTTAATTTATGATAGTCTTCATTTGAAACAATATCTTAAAAGCAATGACCTAACAAGTTGCTTATTTATGAAGGCATTGACAGTATAACAAGGGCATATTTAACATTCTCAAAAAGAGTGATAATAAATCACATCTTCTGGAATAAATTACCTTTTAACATTTTTTAAAGAATATAACCCATTGACACTGATTTTTATAACTGCATATCATTTTGTTTTTTACATATTTGACCTATGTTTGCAACCTTCAAATATGCTTCATCACATTTGAAAGAAAATGAAGTTTGCCAGTGGGAAACAGTAGTCATCTTCAGGTGCTTCTAAACAACTTAAAAATACAGAAGAGTGAAAAATAGGGTTTTTTGCCTTTAAGCCCTTTCTTCCATATTGTATTTCCAATAAAACGTCCACTCTAACTCTTAAGTTCACAGAGCCCTCTTGTCACTGTGAGCCATCATTTTCCTCATCCTCTTGTCCATAACATGGCACACTAGAATGACTATCACTTTCAAAAAAGAACATGAGATCTTTGAATCTTAACTCTAGTGTTACTAACATAGCTGATCTTGGAGAAGTTCTCTGAACTTTAACTTTCTCATTGTAAAATAAGGATAATTTTTATATTTTGTGTGAAGATTAAATGAGATATAGAGAGCCTTACAGAGTGTTGGCCACATAGTAGGTGATTAATAAAAGGAGCCTACTACTAATACTGCTTCTAAGTTATTATTGTCATCATTATTAGTGGAAGTAACAGTATCAAAAATAAATACTGGACCAGATTTTAATATGTTTTAATCTCTTTAATCTCTAGTGCCTTGAGCAGTATTTAAAATGTATTTGCTAAATGATTTCTTTGAGATTCAAAATACTTTAAGCATTTAGTTCTGTTTTTTTTTTTAATCAAATAATACTTTTCACTTTGTAATCTAGAAGAGCAGAGTGGTAGGGTTCAGAAAGAACAAGTGTAATTCATCGTTATGAAACCAAATTCACTGCTAGATTTTGCAGGTACTTGAGTTAAGGTTTTCAGTCTAATTTAAGTTTTTAGAATTTTTCAAAGTTCTGCTAGTTTCCAACTTACTTTGTCCAATTTATGTATTTTGAGGTTTAATTTATAGATTCCAAATCCAGGGAAATTTTGAGGTGTTAGGAAGTCTCTATTCACTTCTGATAACTTAATCCTGTATTTACATTCAGTCTACATATTTAAAACCATTCCAATGACTAGACCTATTATTCATTTAGGGATTTTTTATAAATATAATCTGGGTTTTCAAGTTTTTTCATCCTATAGTGTTTTTAAAGAACAGATGTGTCAAAATACTATGTCTCTTTGTTTTTTAAACTAGCATGTAAATGATGACCATTTTATTATTTTCCAACAGTTAGTGGTGTTTCTTTTATTTCAAATGACCCAAAGAGGCCTTTTCAAGCCTCCTTGGTAGCCTAGAGGGTTAAGTCTCAGTGCTATCACCCCTATGGTCTAAGTTCAGTCCTGGCCAGGGAGCTAACCTACATGTGACTCAGCAGACATCTCCTGCCTCGCCCGCTGCTTCCCTTAGCAGTGTATTTCAGTAAATACATCTGTTTTACTCCCCACTCTGTCTCTGGTGAATCCTCTTGCCCCCTCCTCCTCACCCCCTATTCCTCTGGCCTGCACCCTAGTTCTTCTATGAAAAAATAAAATTAAAAAAAAAAGCCTTTACACTATTTTTTATCTAGAAGGAACATTTGTTTGCATCTCTTTCTAGTATGTGAAACATATTACATGAAGAACTGAATTACCAGAGAGTTATGCAAGATGGTACCCACTGTGAACTCCAGAATCAAGTCCTACATAATTTCCAACTGTTGGAAGAAGGACAGAAAAGAGTAGGAGAGGAGATGGCACAGTTAGCAGGGGTTTAGGAGATGATGGTGACATGACACTAGAGGTATAGGGGTCATAATTGGACTTCCAGGAATAATTTATGAATTCCAAATATACAGTCTTAAAATAGAATGTGGACCTAAATATCCAGAAGATATATGTTAAAAGTTAGATTGAAGTTAATAGTTCCATTGGAGTGGTGGGCACAAAAACTTTATCAGTGCTAACAAAACTGCAGAATTCATGTAACATCAAAATTGTCCCACAAGAGCCACAGGTGTCCTTCCTCCATTCTTTTTAAACATCTTTCATTTTCCAAAGTAGCAAATTTTCTGTATAACTTACAGACCTCAAAGTACTGGAAAGGAAACTCCCATTCAAAGGCAATTTATCTTAAGGTACTACGAATAGTATAAACGATACTAAATTTTTGTCCATTGAAATATATGTCATGTTATGTCAAGTCATCTTGTCAAGTGTAACCACTGTCCACATAGTTGAACTTACAGGATCAAGAACATATGTTTAAATTGATTCTTCTCATTACTGGCAGGTGGCATCTAACTTACTGTAAAAATAAACATCACATATCACTTTGCTGCCTTGGTATCCTTTCTTTGCCTTGACTCTCTCCTTCCCTGCAATAGACCTCCAGATTGGGGTGTCTTGTTAGGGAAGACGTGCAGGTTTCAGGTCACAGTCTTGGGGCGACAGGGTATGTGGGACTTGTCCTTTTTCCAAGTCATCATACACTCCCTACTCCCACCCTTGGCAGAAACATGGATTGTGACTCTTCTCTGTTCCTCTCTGATTGGCTTTTGGTAAAGAATTCAGGCTTGCCCTTTAGGTTCTCCCCCAACACTTATTGCGAGGTGCTGCTTTTTCCTTCCTCCCACTTAAGTCCCTTTTTGCACCATAATCATCCAACACTTTCAATGACACTTCTTGATTTGGCCAGAAGTCATCAAGTAAGCTTGGAAGAGGCTTTGATCTCCTTTACTTAGTTTTGGAACCACATTTATTTACTTTCCACCAGCCTGAGAAATAAATATTGGGCCCTCAGATGTCATCATCATCAGCTAAACATTTTTCTTAGCTCAGGATTTGATAAGGTGAAAGGAAGCCTCTAGAATTACTCAGACCTGCCAGCTCTCAGAGTCCTTGGTGGTTAAGCTTGGCGATTAGTCACAAAAAAGACATTTCTAAGCACACATGACCCCCTGAATGAATTATTTATTCATAAAGACCTTTGCTTTTGAAAACCGAAGAACTTTTAAAAACAAGGCTCTCATTTAGTCATCTTTGCAATCCATTTGGGTCCAGTTTGGAATCTAAAATTGGAACAAAAAGAGCCATGAATTTGTGCATATTTTGGTTTTAGTGCTGCTGCTTCACACAGTTCTCAACAGGGACAAAGGAAGAACTGGGTGTGCATAGCATTGCCTAAAATTGGTGGCCTGGACTTCTGGCAAATTCCTGACTTTTTCCACTTTTCTGTTCAGGACCACTAAATGCTGAGGTGTGGATACACACCAAAATAGAAGCAATTTGTTGCATTAAAAAAAATAAAGAATTGTTAAATCTTAGAATTCTAAGAAACTTTAGAAAGTTCCTCACTTAGAAGGTGAGAAAGATAAATCCCAGAAAGATGAAGAGAGCTGTTCAAGATCACTGGCTGGTTAGTGTTACACCATTTCTCCCCAGACAATTTCTATTGATTTTCTTGTACATTTTATAATAGACTTTAGACGTAATTTTCTCCCAAAACTGCTGTCTTGTATTTCCTTTACTCTCAGCGTGTAGCTTGTCTGTGCACTTTCAGTTCCATTATGATCTTCTGTCTGATCTTGTTCCCTAGAGAGATAACCTTTTCTCATTCACAGCCTAAATAGCAAATGACCAAAATAAATCATCTTTCCCTTCTTTGCATAAAGGTCTGGGGAGACCAGAAGTATGAGCATACATCTGGCTTCATTAGAATATAACTTGATTTCGTGAAGGCCCACTTTAGAACCAGAAATATTAAGATTTCTTTATGTTTATTCCAAGTGCTTGAGTCCACATTTGTAGGGATGTTATTCAATATAGTTCCTTAGAGCTGTTTTAGGAACAGCTGTTTTGTAATTTGTAACTTTATAAAATGTTAAATTGTCACCCAAAATGTGATCTTTTGTTTTGTTAAGATGTAGGTAGAGGGCCTCCCTGGTGGCGCAGCGGTTGAGTGCTGGGTTGCAAAGCTGCCCGCAGCCTCTGCAGCGCCGGTTCGATCCCCAGCTGCTCCCTGGCCACCGGAGGAGGGTCCCTCATGGCGCACAGACCTCTCCTGCCGCCCGCTGTTCCCCTCAGCAGTGTACCTCGGTCCTTCTGACTGCTCTGTTCCCCGCTCTGGCGAATTCTCTCACCCTCCCATGCTTCTGACTGTACCCAGTGCTTGTATAAACAAACAAACAAACAAACAAATAAATAAATAAATCCTTAAAAAAAAAGATGTAGGTAGAATACCAAATAAGTTTCTTTTTCAATTGAGTATTAACACAAATACAAATATATATTACTATTATCCCCCAAATATATGATTATCCCAAGAATAATACAATGTGAATGTGTCTGATATAATGATCACTTCAGATATGTGTAATTTAACTATAAATTATTACATTTTAAATCAAGATTCTCTAATTCTGAGATTGAATTATTTATATTTTTAACTTTTTGTACATAGATATCAATGATATATGATGCAAAAATGATGTCTAAGAATCTTGTATTTCCTTATATAAAATTAAACTGTTTTAGCATGCTAGATACTCCTTGATTTTATTAAATTACATATTAAAGCAGTTATTTGTATACTTTCACCTATGTGAAGGACCGATTTCAATAGTTAAGGCTATGGCATTTATTTAGCAATAAATGAGTTTATAGAAAGTTTCCCAAGTGAAATTTAAATTTCTTATTAAAGTTTGAGAGGTATTATCAATAAAACTCCTATTGTTTATCAATTCTAGATTTTCTTGAAAGAATTGTTTTCCCATTTTAAATTTTGTCCCAGTATATTAATATTGTATAATCGTTTTTTCCTTTGGGTAAGAAAACTTAATTATCTTTTAGGCTCTGACAAACTTAGGAAGATTTATTATGTTTTCCTCTCGGGGCTAATAGTGCATAGGTAATCTTTTATTCCCTTTTTGAAAAATTACACATTATAGTATAATTGTAGTAATTGAAAGTATTTGCAATATGTGCATTTCTCCTAGCTAGAAAAATAAATTCAGATATACAGTAATAATCCCCATGACATTTAACCTTTAATATTTAAGGTATATAAATGTTTTTGTATCCATAAATTAAAAGGTCAGATTTTAAAAAGGAAAATATTTACCATTTAATATCCTAGTGTATATATCTTATGAGTTTACAAATTTCTATTTTCAAGTATATTTACAGGTTACAAACTTCAGAATTTCATTATTTGTAATAGTTTTAATAGACAGTTTTACTCTGTTAAATCATTGTTCTTTTTCTCTAAAGTAAAACATTGGTTTTGTTTGGTATTTCTGGTAGTATAGTACAGATTATTGTTATATTTAATCCTTCTGTTAAATGCATAATTCACATGATGGGTTTTATGGTTCCCTTATTTTACAGAAAAATTAAATAGTTTAAACCTCCTAAATAGCTGTATGAATCTTGATTTCAGAAAGCAACATATTTAATGTAGTCACTCAAGTCTGGCTATGTACTTCTAAGGTAGTTGTCCTACAAGTTTTAATTTTTTTTTTTTCATTTAAACTTCTTGGAGAAGACATTTTCAAATCATTAAAACTTGCGAATGAATTAACCCCAGAGACTCCCTGGTGGCACAAGGGGTTAAGCACAGCACTTTGAAGCTATCCGCAGCCTCTGCAGCACGAGTTCGAGCCCCAGCTGGCCAGGGAGTTACCCACATGGCACAGCAGACCTCTCCTGTCTCGCCTGCTGCTCCCCTCAGCAGTGTATTTCAGTCAGTCTGCCTGTTCTGTTCCCCGCTCTGTGTCTGATGAATCCTCTCACCACCCACACCTCTGGCCTGTACCCCAACTCTTGTATGCACAAATAATAAATAAATCCTTAAAAACAAAGAATTAACCCCAGAAGTCTCAGTCTCATCCATATTTGCCAAAGCCCTTTTTTCTCTTCTGGGCCTTCTCATTTTGACCTTTGGCCCCGTTTCATTAACACAATATAAAAGCAATTACTATAACAAACTTTTATTCTCCCTACAAAGAGATTTCCATAGAAAACACTCCCAAATCATTTATAAACACGAAGTAAATCTGACTTTAAAGCCATTCCTTGGTTTTCAGTGAGGCCCGGTGAATAAAAATTGACATTTACCATTACGACTATTTTACATTCATTGTTCAGACTCACCCTTTACTGGAAGCATTTCTTCTTGCTAATTGTTGCTTTTATTTTGTGTGCATTCATTTTAATCACAAACATCTCATATCAGAAATTCAACTATGAATCTTTAGCAACTCCAAATGTTAATATTTTGTTATTGTTTTTTTCACTCTGCCATATCTAAATTCTCTGAAGAGAAATTAAAATTGATCAGGACAAACATAGAAGGTGAAAAATATGAAACAACTAGAATAAATATGGGTGTGAAAATCATAATTTATATTGTAACAAGAAACATGATTTTATTTCTTTTGAAATAGGCATATTTTGAGTTATTAATTGTAATATATTGTACACAAAATTAAGATAATGTAGTCTAAAAATATTTAAATCTATTAGCAAATACTAATTAAATTATGATTTAATTGAGTACGTGCTCTATTCTGGAAAACATCACTTGCTGATGCTGAAGAAGCTTCTATTAAAAATACTGTGTACAGAATCAGGATATTTAGATTATTGATGATAAAGTATATACACAAAAATATTTTTAAAGGGTAAATAAAAATATTTAGCTATTTTTGAAATTTACTTTAACTCTATTGGAGCTATGTTTATTTAAACTATATTTATTGATGGATTACCATATGTGACATACTGTGGTAGGACATGAGTTAGCAAATTTATCCAATATTGATGAGTCTTATTTTACTTTGTGATGCTTGCAGGTTGATCTGCATTTTATGAAAAAGATTCCTCCAGGTGCAGAAGCTTCCAACATCTTAGTTGGGGAATTGGAGTTCTTGGATCGAACTGTAGTTGCGTTTGTGAGGTTATCTCCAGCTGTTTTGCTTCAAGGACTGGCAGAAGTCCCAATCCCAACCAGGTAAAAATGATAAAAGTATCTTCTGCACTTCACTTAAACCATTTTTGTGGGTAAAAAATAAAGGAGAAAATACAATTTCTCTGACAGCTTCTTCTAACAACATATGTGTGAACCATAAAATAATGATTTCTTTTTGTTTATGGAGGAGGGGGAAAAGTTCTTTAAAAATTATTCTGTTCTTTCCTCCTTTTTCTCAGATTTCTATTTCGTTTAGACTTGCTACTTATCTTGGAATATGATCGCAGAAAGTATCGTACTTTTCTCTAGGATTGTATCAGATTGTGAGCTAAAAGAGGATCCTGTCAGAGTGTGGTCAAATGCAACAAGATCAAAATTTCCAAGTCTTAGCTTATGTTTGAGTGAGTAGGTCTTTAAAGTACATGCAAATGCTATCATTAGGGTATTTCCTGCCGTATCTTTTCGTATATGTGGGGCTATATATTTTAGTTCTAGCGTAGAATGTATCCCATGCATAGAGTCTAAAGAATCATTGGTGGTAATATCATGTTTTGTGGTTAAATCCAAATCCAAATTGTTGTGGGGAGAAAACCAGGGTGAAGCTGGAGGCATTGGGGCGGAGGTGAAAGAATTCAGCAGAGACAGAGTGGAGAACAGAAGAGGTAGATTTATTGAAATACACTGCTAAGAAAAGCATCGGTGAGATGGGAGAAGTATGCATTTGAAGGAGGATTAGAGGCTCTTTTATACTCTGTTCATGGGCTTTCTAGCTTGGGGCATTAGTTTGCACCATTTATCTGCTGGAATGTCTGGTCTCTAGTACTGGCTTTTGACACAGAAACATGTTCTGGCCTCTGCTTCTGCATTCCTAGAGTCTGACTGGTTTTTCTGATCATGGTGGTTGATTTTATAGCCTCGTTCCCAAGGCAGCTTTATCTACTCCTTTATCTATTCCAGCCTCCAAAATCTACCTGCTGGGTCAGAAGTGAGGGTTTAGTTTTTAACCTTATTCAGCTGTATTCCAACACAAATCATAAGCACAAATTTGACTACCCAAACTTGTTTCTGATTTAACTATATGTAAAGACTAGCAACTTAGGTATAATATAAATTATGTTGTTTATCATTTATCTCCGTTTTGTAGATATAAGACTGCCCATGAGCAATGTTGTGAGGAAAAATAGGTGAAGAGTGTTGACTTCAACATGACTTCCTAGCAATTCATCCAGGGGAACTTGTTTTCTTCTACTCTGACACTATACCCATAGCAAAACATACATTTCTTGGGCCCTACTTCTTCCTTCATGATACCTTTGTTTGGTGTTTCAGATGTTGTTAGTATGTCTCCTCTCCCAAACATTGAATGTATTAACCAGGTAAAAATGATAAAGAGTTCAGGTGCTGTGGCAACATAGAAAATGTGTCCTCTATGGACCTTTGGCCTTAAATCAAAACATCAGGTTATGCCACTCTGTGTTTTGATTATTATATGGATGAGATATTCCAAAAATAGGGAGTAGTTTAGTCAGGAGAGGCCTTATTTTGTAAGAATTGAACTTACTGGAATGAATTCAGTGTTCAAGTACCTATGTCTGAATTCATGACTTGAGGGAATAAAATGGTTACTATTCAATTTATAGAAAGAAGTGTCAGCCCATATTATTGAAGAGTTAATGAGACTTTTCATATGTACCAACTTATATTTTAAAAGGGGAAGGATGAACTGAATATATTAAAATGGTTTCTGACCATATCATTACACCTGTGGTTTTCTGTGTACAACTTATAACTTATTCAGAGTTTCTGGGAATTTAGGATTCAGATTTAAGATGTCAAGCTTCTAATTGTAGAGGTTTCATTTTAGTAGTTTAAAATTCCTTTTCATTCTTCCAAGCAATGTTTTCTCATTCCACCATTTAGAAAGGAGTGATGAATTCTGAATAAATGATGGCTATTTTTGACCATGATAGTTCCTATATTTCAAAGGAAAGAAAAGAAAACAATCTCAGAAGTAGAGAAAAGCCATAATGGGGTTATATGCCCTTACTTTGAAAACTGTCAGGGTTTAGGTGACCTCATTTCATACTGATACAGCAAAATAAGTGTAGAGTACAATAGAGGAAAAATTAGGGGCACGGTGAAGCCACTGTTTAAGAAAAGATTAAAAAGACTGGACTATTTAGTTGGAAAAGGTGAAAAATGGAAGAAGATTAGCCAGATAAATAGAATAAAAAAAGCCATTCAAGGTTCCTAATTATTCTCTCTTAAGAGGACAAAAGAGCACACCATGAATATAACAGCAATACATAGTAGAAATGTCAGAAAATAATCTTTAGGACTTTATAAATAGCCCATGGAATGGAAAACTGAAAAATAGCAAAATGTACATTAGGAAATTTCTTGACAGTATTATGGTTGATAAAAGATCTGCCATCACATTTAACTATACTCTTTTAAATGTGTAGTGGACACTACTGTATAGTACAAACTACAATTAGTTACAACCAACACAAAAAACTAACGTCAGATACACTAAAGTTGTGTAATATGTGCTTCATGTGAGAAGCTGCACAATCTCTAGTTTATAACTAAATGAAGTATAGAGTTATAGTAATTCTCAGTACACTGTATAAAAACATTAGTCTTCATACTTATTAGCATAAACCACTTAACAAATTAACACCATGGAATTATACTGAAAAATATAAGGCATTCTTTAATTTTCACAATTTCCCTGCAGTTTTAAACATTTCAGAGACAGGACAATTACCAGTTCTCCAAAGTTAGAGCATGTATCGATTTGTTAATCAGTTCCAGTTGTGGTGATGAATTTGCCAAACTTATACTCTAATTTAGATAGAATATTACTCTGCAGCTCCTATTTTTATTCATCTGGCATTGGAATTAATAGTTAATTAATGCTTCATTTTCTTTTAGCAAATGTTTGATTCCTGAAAAGATTTTTTTCTATTTAATGTAAATTTTACATATACCTGCTGTTTCTTTGCCCATGTACTCTCTTTGTTTACACTTCTGGCATATCTTTTCTATTATAATCTGCATATTATTGAGTTCTCTTCCTTTCAATTCAGAAAGATTCAATCAGTTGTTATATTTTCTATCTTCCTCTTCTGAGCGTTATAGGTTCCTTAGAATGGGTATTAACACTGTGTAGACTCTATGGATGACTAGATAGGAGGAACACTGAGATAAAAATTATGCATTTCCATTGTTCAAGGATCTTAAGTATGAGTCAATCATTATAAAGTGTTTCAAAATCATAAGTTGTGAAAAATATGGAAGTACTTTATATCAAAATCTCCATCTTCGCTAGTTTTAGATAAATGATTTTGTGTTATTAAGCTATTTCATATTTCTGCCTTGAAACATTGGTGTTTTTTTCTTTTTAATTGCAGATTTTTATTCATTCTTCTGGGACCCCTCGGAAAGGGTCAACAGTACCATGAGATTGGCAGATCAATTGCAACCCTAATGACAGATGAGGTATTTATTCAAGTTCAGAGGGGGTATTTTCCCCACTAGGGACATCTGACTTTTGGAGTTTCTTTATTCATGAAAATTTACTCTCAATTAAATTTCTGGGCATTGAATTCCTCTTTTTCTATGCTTTCTTTATAACATTTTCTTTGGAACAATTTGTTTGAAAGGAGTACAAATTCACACACATAACTATAATCCTTAAATTATCAGGTTCTAAAGAAAATTTATTATTTAGTGATGCTAGAACATATTAACATTTGCCTTTGCGTATATGTGCTACAAAGGTGACCACCATTGTTAACATCATTGTAAATCTTTTTCGGAGGATAAAATAATTTTAAAATCTCAAGAAAAAACAATGCCAGTTTTCTGAATAGCTTTCAAGACACAAAAATGCCTTCAACACCTATCAACTCATTGTGTAATTGCTAGAGTTTCTTAAACTGGGAGTTTGTCCCCTTAAAGGAATTATAGATGGATTTCAAAGGACCGGTGATCTTTCTGACACAGAAAACAGACTTTTCTAAGAAAAAAAATATGTAGATATATTTGGACTGGAAAAGTTTTCACCAGCTCCTTAAAAAGGTATATGTCTCCAAAAAATGTTAAGAAAAATAAAAATAAGAACATAAAAAGGAGAATTTTGTATTCCCCAACACATTATAGACATGTATTTTTACTGTTTTATTATTCAATAAGGACAGATGCAAATGATCATAGTCAAAATTAAGTAGTAAACAGCAAATGGGATTATATATTGTCTAGAATCTCATCTAAAAATTTAATAATGTTTTCATGGAAATACATGACTTTGGACACCTGGGCATCTGTAAAAAATGAATTTATATCATAAATAAATTTCCCTAGGTTTATAAAATCTGAAAATTTTCCCTTGTTTGAAGTTTGATATACATTCCTTTATTATATGTGTTTAAATTATGTTTTATGGTTTACACATATGAAAACAAAAGCTAAGAGGAAAATATTTTTGAAAATCAATTTCAGAAAGAACCTACATAATCACACTATTAATTTCCAATGACTGCAATTAAAATTACCACAAGCTGGGCAATTAAAGCAAGAGTAATCTATTTTCTCATATTTGGGGGGAGCCAGAAGTCTGAATCAAGGTGTCAGCAGGGCTACATTGTCTTGGAAAACTAGCGAGAGAGTCTCTCCTTGTCTCTTCCAGATTCTAGTGGTGTGTGGAGTTCCTTGATTTGTGGCAGCAGAATTCCAATTCTCTGCCTCCATCTTCATGTGGCTCTCCCTTTGTCACTCCGTGCCTTCTTTTCTGTTTCTTATGTGGATACCTATCGTTGCATAAGATCTCATTTTGAGACACTTGCCTTTATTACATCTGCAAAGACCCTCATTCCAATTGTTCATATTCTGAGGTTCTGGTGGACATATGTTCTGTAAGGCTACTACTCAGTCTAATATTTTTGGTAATGTCATTTATTGAAGTAAGCTGGGAAGAGACGGAAGAGTAAAAAAATGGCTTCATGAAGACTACAGGCCTTCTCTATTAGAACGCTCTATGAGAAGACATGTACCATATCCTTGCTTTTAATGTTTTCATACTGATTAAATAATTTGCAATATTTACAGTATTGGAAAATAAATGACAATGTGATTTGTATTCCACAATTTGAGTACTGTCCTTTTCCTGTACTGTTTCATGTTGTTGTATTTCCACATCTTACCCAGAAAGTTACCCCAAAAGATAAGAGCTGATAATAAGAGGACACCTTAATAATAATAGCCTATTCATCAAATTATAATAGCCTATTCATCATAAAAACACTTAAATACTTTATAAAGAGAAAGTGTTTTTTTATTGCCCAAAACCCAACCAGAGATATTGTTGTTCTTATTTTTTTTTAAGATTTATTTATTTATGCATACAAGAGCTGGGGTGCAGGCCAGAGATGTGGGGGTGGGGGGTAAGAGGATTCACCAGAGACAGAGTGGGGAGCAGAATAGGCAGACTGACTGAAATACACTGCTGAGAAGAGCAGTGGGCGAGACAGGAGAGGTCTGCTGTGCCATGTGGGTCAGCTCCCTGACCAACCAGGAATCGAACTTCTGCTTCAGTGGCTGCAGATAGCTTTACAATGCTGATGCTTAACCTCTTGCACCACCAGGGGGGCCCCCAAGATATTGTTCTTACCTAATTGCTTTGAAAGCTACTGAATACTTGTTTAACAGCAAGACTTAACATGTTGATTCATAGTTTTACTTTGATTAAGAACATAGTTAATTGGGTTACTTTATCAAACTAAATTCCATGAGAACAGCTACCCTTTATTTTTTATTTATTTATTTTTAAAGATTTATTTATTTATACAAGCACTGGGTACAGTCAGAAGCGTGGGAGGGTGAGAGAACTCACTAGAGACAGAGTGGGGAACAGAACAGGCAGACTGACTGAAATACACTGCTGAGGGGAACAGCAGGCATGGCAGGAGAGGTCTGCATGCCTTGTGGGACCCTTGCTGGCGGCCCGGGGACCAAACCGGTGCTGCAGAGACTGCGGGCAGCTTCACAGCCCAGTGCTCAACCACTGCGCCACTAGGGGAGGCCCAGAACAGCTACCCTTTAATACTCATTTATGTCTCCTGTTTTTGTCAGGTATTCAAATAAATACTTGTTGACTAAACTCTGTTTTTTTCCTCCTTGTACTGACAATTCCTTACGACCATCATCTTCTTAAGTATCTTCAGATTTAGCACGTCTAGATCTCAGTTCAGTAAATGTTTTATTTTTTAATGAATTAACAACTGAATGTGCTACTCATCCCACAATAATACCTTATCTTGACTCAATCTATTTTCTCTCATTTTGTTGAGCATTACTAGAGATAAATCATATAATTTTGCTTTTTAAATTAAAGTAACATTGGTTACTTTACAAAAGGTGACTGGCTCTTATAACTTCCATTTGAAAGTGACATATGTACACCTAAGCAGAATATACTTAATCCCAATATCAAGGAAGACAAGCATTGCAGTCCTATCCTATCGTGGGCCTAGAAGAAAAGCTGAGTTATCTGTCAGTAACCTAAATGACTACCATGTACATGTGTTTGTGTGTGTGTGTGTGTGTGTGTGTGTAAATGTAACTCACATTTTGAATGCAGATACACTTTCTGTACTCTATAGATATGGTACCTGTCCAGAAAATACTAACTTGTAACAATATTACTATTTATAAATGAAAGCATAATTACCATTTTTAGTTTATGTATGCCACAGTATAAATATTGCTGAAATTTTTAATATATTTTACAAATTTTTAATCTATTTTTAAGCAATGGTTTCTTTCAGAAAGTTTGGTTTGCCGACACTTCAGTTATTCCTGTCTTGAGTCATTAATTCTATTTTTATGAGCTTCCTTTCATTATCCTTTCCCTTTCTCTTGCCTGTAGAAACTTAAACATTCACTTTGGCATATTAAGAAAAATACATATCTGTGTGCATTTATGGAGTAAACTAAGCTATATTATTTTATATCAAAAACTTCTTTAGTTAAAGCTGGCTAGTTATTGAAATTATTATAGTCACATATGAGATAACTGGGAAAAGAAAACACTGAACATATTAAATTTTTATAATGACTTTTTAATCTATAAATAACATTTCTTTTCCTTCTGTAGGTATTTCATGATGTTGCTTACAAGGCTAAAGATCGTAATGACTTGGTGTCTGGAATTGATGAATTTCTGGATCAGGTAACTGTTCTCCCTCCTGGAGAATGGGATCCAAGCATTCGAATAGAGCCTCCCAAAAATGTTCCTTCCCAGGTATGTATATTTTAAAATATTCTTTAAGTCCCCAGGATTTTATTATCTTTCAAATAAATGGCTAAAATAGTTTAACTCATCGAAATATTGATTATAACCTCTAAGGCAGGAGGATGAAGTTACAAAGTCTCCCTTAACTCTACCCAACACACTTCACCTCACTGAGAAATCTGATGTTTTAATGATACCCTATTAAGTCAAATAGCCCTCAAAAATTTATAGATCCATTTTACAAGGTAAATACTGGAGAAAAATTAAATTTTGATAAATTTATAAATTGTGGTTTGAGAAAAAATTTTTTTCTGTATTCTTATATATCACTTTGACATTGGCATGTATTAGGAAAATGCAAAGTCCTGGCTAAGTATATTATATAGGAATCTCCCTGTGACTGCTGATCACATCTATTATTGTGAAGAACTTTTTGTTATCATTCTTATGTTTGCATTACCTTTCTATTGGTGTATTGTACAAAAATTGTAAAAATTGTGTCCATAAATGTCTAATGTGCATTTACTCATTATGCAATCCAGATAGATAGATAGAAAGATTGATGATATTATGTAGGCATCATTTTCTTATTGCAGGCATGACTTAGTTGAGAGTGGCAGCCAAACATTTGCTGAGCCCACTTTTCCTATTGCCAGCACTATTCCTACTGCTAGTTGTCATTTACTCAGCCTTGTCTTTGGCTCTTGTCTCTGGGGAGCCCAAGCTGGTTTGATTCTACTGTCCTAGTTGAAGTAACAGATGGGCTAATTTTATTACCCAGCCCTGAATTTAGAAGATCTTCTGGTTGATCAGAGGTAGACAACTGAGCAGGTGTACCACTCAACCATGAGTGTTTAAAAAGGTCATCTCAATCCCATTGTCGAGTTAAGGAAAGTAGACTGATGTTTCATTTCTATATTTTCATTCTGAAGCCATTTCATAATTTAAAAAATTATTTGCTTTTGTTTTCTCAACAACTATAATTTTGTGATTCTGTAACTGTAGCCATGTAGTTTCAGTTGATCTACTACCAAAAAAAAAAGCAGCTTAGGGCGTAATTTTAGGGGTTACATTTTGTCTTATTTTTGTGCTTTTTTATATCTTTGCACTTAAAATATTTTATGTGCCTTTATTAGAAAAGGCAGTTTAATGCTTCCTGATGTAATGAGAAACTCTTTAACTCATGTAATTTTGGAAAATATTAATATATTTAGAGTGAGATTTTGAAAGTCATTTGTCAACATCATTTGAATATTTTGTGAAACACCTTGCCTTTGAGAAATGATGATTTTTGAGGCAAGTTAGGGCATGATAACTCTACGTCTAAATTACTTTTATGAGACTTTAAAATCAGGATTAGTGATTCAAATCTGAGTATTGACAGACAGTAGTAGAAAGAACATTGAATTAAGAATCAAGGGACCTGGATTCTGTTATTATTTGTTTGCATGAGTTTGAAGAGATGCCTTAAACTGTACTGATGTTCTGTATCAGTGTGAACTTTTTGCAATGACAAAAATGTCCTAGATCTATGTTCTCTATTAATCCAACTCATTATTGAGTCCTAGAAATTTGGCAGTGGCAACTGAGTACTGTGTTTTAATTTTAACTTTTAAACAAATAGCCTTAGGTAGGTACTGGCTATCATATATTAGCACGGTTTTATATGAGTTTAGATTAGAGTTATACCCTGTGCTTCTTTATAACATTAGTATTTTCAATTTTTTATAATACATATATTTTACCTTTAATTATGAAATATTTCATACATTGATAATATATTATAACATTCATTGTTTGCTCACTTTCAGATTTAACAGGTGTGAACATTCTAGATATTTGCTTCAGATTTCCTTTGAAAAAATAATAGCAGTACAAAACACAACAAAGCAAAAACAGACAATTATAAATCAGAGACATACTGTAGGAGGAAGCAGAGGGATCAGAGGGAGAGAGGGAGGGAGAGCACAGGGGACTGAGGTGATGGTGCACGGGTGCACTGGTGAAGGAAACTCTATGGGGACTACACCTGACAGGGTGGGAGAAAGCAAATATTGTTTAAAAATGAACAATGATGTAAAAAATAAAAAACTAATAAAAAATATTAAAAAATAGACACAGTATGTTTCATAAAATTGAATACCTCTTGCTCATTCCTCCCTCTCCATAGACAGCCACTGCTCTATTGGGGGAGGATCTTATCCCATGCAATCTTTGCTATATTTTATACAGTTCTTATTTATGAAAGCTGTACAGTATAGTTTTATTGGTATTTTTTATTTATTTTTTATTTTTTTGGGGGGGATTTGCACAAACATATGATTTTATTTTTTCATTTTTTTAAATAATAAATTTTATTTTTATATTCCCCATACAATTGCAGCCCCCCCATTCTGACCCCAATCCCTCCCCTCCCGCCACCCACCCCCCCAAAAGTGTCTCTGGTTCATAGTTTTTTGTTGATTTTGATTTTCACTTTCTTATAGTTATTCATTTTCCTGGTCCCTTATTTAAGTTTTCTAGATTCCTGCTATGAGTGAGACCATCCAGTATTTTTCTTTTTCTTTCTGGCTTATTTCGCTGAGCATGATCCCTTCCAGCGCCATCCATGTTGCTGCAAATTGCATGTGTTTATCTTTTTTGAATGCTGAGTAATATTCCATGGTATATATGTACCACATCTTCTTGATCTAGTCATCTATTTTTGGGCATTTGGGCTGTTTCCAAAGCTTAGCTATTGTAAATAGTGCTGCTATAAACATAGGGGTGCAGGTGCTCTTTGGAATTGATGTTTCTGTGTCCTTTGGGTAAATACCTAGGAGTGGAATTGCTGGATCATATGGAAGCTCTATGTTTAGTAGGTCCAGAAATCTCCACACAGCTCTCCATAGTGGTTGGACCAGTTTGCACTCCCACCAACAGTGCAGAAGAGTTCCTTTTTCTCCACACCCTCGCCAGCATTTGTTGTTGCTAGTTTTTTTAATATGTGCCATTCTCACTGGTGTAAGATGGTATCTCATGGTACTTTTGATTTGCATTTCCCTGATGACAAGTGATGTTGAACATTTTTTCATATGCCTGTTGGCCATTTGCATTTCCTCTTCAGAGAAGTTTCTTTTTAGCTCTTCTGCCCATTTTTTGACTGGATTATTTTCTTTGTTGTTGTTGAGTCTCATCAGCTCTTTGCAGATTTTTGTGATCAGTCCTTTATCATTAGTGTTTTGTGCAAAAATGTTCTCCCAGTTGGTGGGGTTTCTCTTTGTTTTTGTTATTGTCTCTTTTGCTGTGCAGAAGCTCTTTAATTTGATGTAGTCCCAGCTGTTTATCTTTGCCTTCACTATCACTGCTTTGGGTGATGTGTCTGTAAAGATGTCTTTGATGTGAATATCACATAGTGTTTCGCCTATATTTCCTTCTATGTATTTTATGGTTTCAGGTCTTATGTCTAGTTCTTTAATCCATTTTGAGTTGATTTTTGTGTATGGTGTGAGGTAGTGGTCAAGCTTCATTCTTTTGCATGTAGTGACCCAGTTTTCCCAGCACCATTTATTGAACAAACTTTCTTTGCTCCAATGCATAGTCTTTGCTCCTTTGTCAAAGATTAGTTGACCATAAATCTGTGGGTTTATTTCTGGATTTTCTATTCAATTCCATTGGTCTGTATGTCTGTTCTTGTTCCAATACCATGCAGTTTTGATGATTATGGCTTTGTAGTATAGTTTGAAGTCTGGGAGTGTGATGCCTCCATTCCCTTTTTTTTTTTTTTCAGGAGAGCTTTGTCTATTTGGGGTTTTTTGTGATTCCATATGAATTTCATCAATAATTGTTCTATTTCTTTGAAGAATGACATTGAAATTTTGATTGGAATAGCATTGAATCTGTATATTGCTTTTGGTAGGATGGCCATTTTAATAATGTTTATTCTCCCAATCCATGAGCAGGGGAAGTCTTTCCATTTCTTTGTGTCTTCTTCTATTTCTTTTAACAGTGTTTTATAGTTTTCTTTGTATAGGTCCTTTACCTCTTTTGTTAGATTTATTCCCAAATATTTGATTTTTTTTTGTTTCAATAATAAAAGGGATGGTTTTTTTGATTTCTTCTTCTTCATCACTGCTAGATTCATATGACAGAATTTCAGGACATTTGGTTCGTTTAGTTTTCCTTGCCATTCCAGAACTGTTCCGTTCCTTTTTGTTGCTTTTGCTAGAAGTTTTTTTAGATTTTGGTAATGGTTTGCCAGAAGGCTTTGGATGCATTAAGAAATTCAAGATCCTCTTCACCAATTCACTATTTACACCTGATCGCTCCAAATCAAGAACTTCGCAGATGCTCTTTAACATGGCATTTCTAAATTTTTTCAACATTTCTTCCTTCTTTTTATACTGGATACTTCCTTTTTCAAATGGAAAGCCACTGAACTGACCCACATTCTTCTTTAATGAGGACACTGTGCCCTGTCTGTTGTAAAGCAGTTTATGCAGATTTCTAATTTCTGTTTTCTTTCTCTTTTTACTGAGAAAGAAATGTATCCTTTCAATTTCACAAAGTTTTTGCCCCTTTCCTTGTGCAATTGTAAATGGCTCTCTTTGTAAAGAAGAGACTTGCATTGTCAACCTTTCTACTTTCTTCTTTTCCCTCTTGCCTTCCACAATGAGACTCTTTTCTTTTTGTTCCTCCTCGTCATCCTCCTCCTCCTCCTCGTCGTCGTCCTTGTCGTCATCCTCACTTTCCTCTTTGGGGTCCGGCATTTCGGGCTCCTTCTCGGCCGCGGGCTGCGCGGGGGCGCCCTCGCCCTCGGCCGCAGGGCCGGCGGCGGACATGCTGGTGGGGAGCCTGCGGGCGGGAGGCGGTCAGCCGTCCCGGCCTCGCTGCGGTCGGGACGGGGCACCCCCCCACCCCGGGACTAGGCCGACACCCCCGGGCCCGGCGGGGAACCCCACCTCGCGCCCGTCTCCTCCCAGCGGCCCTGACCAGGCACCCCCCCACTCCCGCTCCGCGCGCTGTCGGGGAGGCCCGAGGCGGGAACCGGGGCCTTTATTGGTATTTTTTAAATGTATGCTATAATTGGATGAAACTGTGTTTCTATGTTTTCTTTATTAAATGGAGCAAAAATGAATCAAAATATATTAATTCCTCTGATTTTATACTCATTCAAATAATATTTTCCCTCATGGGATAATTTCCAAGGTTTTTACTCTTTTGAAATATGTGGATTGCAGAATTTTTAATACTTTTCCTTCCAGTTAATAGATGAATAACCAGTCATAACCTGAAAATATTCTTCAGAACTTTGTTGTTATAATCACTGTGATATAGTCACTCCCTGGTGTGTATCCTCAGCTTCTTTGTTTTGCTCTCCTGCCATTCACTTGTTTGTGGAAACTGCAACACTGTGTGAAGCTCCTCAGTACCTACACTGATGCAGCCGAGGGCAGCAGAGGGAAAACATTGACTGCACTGACTGATCCCACATAATTTATAACCACATATGTACATCAAGCATGCACTGACTGTTGACACGCTCTCATGCTATACTTCCCTACTCCAATCATTCTCTTTAAGTGACTACTGCATACCTCTATTCTCTCCTCAATGCTTCAGCACATCCTTCCTTACCCTGATCGAGAATCTTTATTGCCACTACCATTACCCTCATTCCTGCCACCATCACCTTTCTCCTGGATTAATCAACTAGTCTTCCAAACGTTCTCCTTGTTCTACCTTTGATTCCTAGAATCTGGCCTCAACACAGTGAGCAGAGTTACTGCATTTTAGGTCTTGCTACTCCATTCTGCAAAAACATGGAAAGGTTCCTCATTACACTGGGAATAATAGCCAAATACTCAGAATGGTATTAAAGCTGTGTTGTCTAGCCTCTCTCTACCTCTCAGACACCATCAACCACTTCCTCCCTTGGTTACTCCTCAACTATATTGACCTACTTGCCCCTTATTCTGTAGATCCTCCAGCCATACACTCCAGCTTTAAGACTATCCCACTGTTATTTCTGCCTGTATATCTCCCCAGCTATCTTTCCTCACCTGATTAATTCCCTCACTTCCTTCAGGTTTTTTTCTCAAGTATTATGTTCTTACTGATCTTGCCTATTTATAATTGTCAATCCTACCCCCCCACACACATCTAATGCACTAGAGAATTAATGTACTTGTCTGTTTGCCTTCATCATTAGAATGTAAGCTCCACAGCCTAGTAGACAGTGGCTGACCTGATATCTGACATAAATTGGAGCTCTATTAAATTAATCAATTGTATAATTTGAGTAGTCAAATAAGTTACCCATTGGCTTGTTTTGAAATATTGAAATATTTTGTTTGTTTCTGAGCAAAAAAACAATTTCTATATGTTCCTCAGAATATCCATTGCAACTGTTCATATATCTCTTTTCAAGTAACCTTTTCCTCTTATAAGGTGAACTCCTTGAGGAAATGGATACTTTAGAATAGCTAATATCTTTCATGAGTTATCATTTACTTTATTAGTGTATAACTTTTTCCATTGTAAAACAATGACTTAACTTATCCAGTAGAGGAAAACCATATAAATTGCTTTCTGAGACTGGTGGAAGCTCAGAAATGTTTCCTTGGGTGATTGGGAAGTGGGTATTGACAGTCACTCTGAAAACCCTTTGCTAAAGTATGCTAGTTATTTATCTGTAAATGCAGTCCCTTTGCCAGTTGACAGACATCTTCTCTTTTATCTTTGAACTTCAGTTCATTGTGTCTGTTCATGAGCCTGGGAAATTTTTAAAAATATCAAGCAATAAACTTTGCTACATTGTGTGCATTTCAAACCTTAAATGTCCCATCCTGAAAAACATCAGTTAATGATTCACTTTTGTTCATGTTTACACTAAACAAGAAGAATGTGTTTGCATGTTTACTCTATTTTAGAATGTCAGTTAAGTAAAAATTTTAATTGAACCAATTAAACTTTTATTTTGTAATACTGTATTATGGTTTTATGAACTTTTGAACATATTGGTATGCTCTAAGATCACCAATAGGTAGGGTTTTCTTATTTTTTAAAATCTGTCACTGACAAAAGTGGTGCAATAGACCTATGGGAAAACCACACATGCAGAAAACTTAATTTGTCATCCGCTTAATTAGAAGCTTCCTTCTATAATACTCTGGGATCTCTATGTATTTGGAAGTACCATATTGTGGAGTATTTCTTGGTTATCTAGGAAGATATCAGAGGGAAATACATTTTAAAAATAGCTAATAATATTAGTTAATATTTATTGAACACACTGTAGAGGCAGAGGGTAAATTTTCCCCTATACCTCTAGGTTTTCTCAGGCCGGTAGAGTTAACAAAACATCAGACGGTTTGGTAAGAGTAAAAGAACAAATTTAATTACATATGTGTAGGAAATTTACATGGTTGTAAATTCTGGTATATATATATGACAGCCAAAGTTTTTTAATCTTTGAGCTAGTGAATCGGGATTTAGGGTATCATGGGATAAGGGAGCAGACTCATAATGAGGAGAGAATGACTCATAAAAATCAGATATTCTCTATGTACATGCTTGTCCTATCATAAAGATAGGTTTCTCTTATAGAAAGTTCTTTTTTTTGTGATTTAAAAAAAATTATAGTATCTTTTATTGGAGTAACCTCGGCTTATATACTGTATGTAATATGGGGATACAGGTTCACACCTCTTCAGACGTTGTTTCTACACCACACCTACTGCCAAGCCCCAGTAGTCCTTATCTCTAGTTCATTGGGTGCCCCTCCCCAGTTTGCTCCCCACCCTCATCCTTGTAGCCTCAATTCTGTTTTCAGATATCTGGGATTTGTTTTGGTTTAGTTTTGTCTGTTCCTTTGTTTTGTTTCTCTGTAGTCCACATACAGATGAAATAATCTGGTATTTGTCTTTGTCCTTTTGACTTATTTTGCTTAACATAATCCCTTCCAATTCCATCTATATTGTTGCAAATGTCAAGATTTAAGTTTTTTATTACTGAGTAGTATTCAATTGTGTATATATACCACATCTTCTTAATCCACTCATCTAGTTAGACACTTAGATTGTTTCCAAAACTTGATTATTATTAATAGTGCTACAATGAGCATAGGAATATATATATCCATTTGAATTAGTGTCTGTGTTCTTTGGGTAGTTACCTAGTAGTGGAATTGCTGAATCATATGGAGGTTTATTTTTAATAATTTGAGAGATCTCCAACTGTTTTTGATAGCCATCAATAATGTATAAAATTTCCTTTTTCTCTATATCTTCACCAATACTTGTTTCTAGTCTTTATAATATGTCCCATTCTCATCCCATTCTCATAGGTTTCGAGTGGTATCTCATATGGTTTTGATTTGCATTTCTGTGATAAGTGATAATGAAAATTTTTTTCATGTGCCTGTTGGCCATTTGACTGTCTTCTTGGGGAAGTTTCTATTTAGCTCTTCAGCCCATTTAGGGTTGTTTTCCCTTTTTGTTGAGTTGTATACATATTTTGTACATCTTAGATAGTAGTCCCCAATGTATAATGTACAAATATCTTCTCCCATTTGGCAGAGTGCTTTTTGTTTGTTTGTTTTAATTATAGCTTCTTTCCCTCTGCAGAAGCACTTTAGTTTGATGTAGTCCTATTTTTTTTGTTTTTGTTTATTTTACTGTTGAAGTACCCCAAAACCTCCCTGACTCAGTGTGTTTTATCCATTTATTATGAGATAGTGATCCAGTTTCATTCTTTTCCATGTTGCTATCCAGTTTTCCCAACATCATTTCTTGAAGAAACTTTCCTTTCTTCACTATATGTTGTTGGCTCATTTGTTATAAATTAACTGTCCGTAAGTCTAAGTGTGGGTTTATTTTTGGACTCTTGATTCTATTCCATTGATCTGTTTCTGTTTTTATTCCAACACCATATTGTTTTAAGTACTGGTGAAATCTGCAGGGTCTTAGCTTAGCTACATGTCCAAGGTGACCTGCCTTGGTAAGACTGTCTGGACATCTTGGGAGACCTATCTGTATATTTTAGGGAGGCCTATGTTTCAAAATTCTGTCAGCATATAACATTATCATAACTAACACCTTTTCACCCAAACCTACCCTGACTCTAATCTCTCTTTGTCCCCTTTTCTTTATTTTTCCTTATAGCTCTATTTCTATCTGATATTATGGGTTTGTTGTTTATTTCCACTAATAATAAACTTTTGTTGGTTGCTCACTTTTGCATCTCTAGTATCCATAACAATGAAAGACACATACAGGGCACTCAATAAATAATTGAAAGAATGAATACTTTTAAGAAACACTTTAAAGAATGAATGAATGCCTAGCACATTATTTATTTTCTCTTCACATTTATTGTTTGCATCTAGAAACACACCCACACTGATGGTATTGCTAGTACCCAAGTAAAAGGAGGAGGAAAATGAAGCTTTAGGAGGCTAGATACAGTCCTTGTCATGCAACAAATAAGTAACAGAGCCTGGGTTGTTCCATCCTGCGTATTGCGTGAAGGGAAAAACTTTATTGTTTTTAATGAGTGAGATTGAAACATAAAATCAAAACCAAAAATCTTCCTACAGGAGAAGAGGAAGATCCCTGCTGTACCAAATGGAACAGCAGCTCATGGGGAAGCAGAGCCCCATGGAGGACATAGTGGACCTGAACTCCAGCGAACTGGAAGGTTAGTGAAAAGCACTTGTATGGGACCTCAAAACTAAATGCTGTATATGTATACATAGAGAGAGACCATTTCCTTTGTCAAAAGTTGTTGTGTTTAGATCCAATATTTTTAATACTCTTTGGATATAAAAATGCCAATTAATTCAATTTCTCTGTAGTTACTAATGATTGTCATTACTATTAAACCAGAACAGTGGATACACTATTTCATTTTATCTTAAACCGAGTCTTTATTTTGCTGTGCATAAAAAGCATTTGCAGATTCTTCTAATGAGTAAGAAAACTGTCAGTTGTCCCTTCCAAAAGAGCTTGTTGAAAGCTTCAAGTTCAAGATGGAAATAAAAATATCAAGACTCAGTCCTTTAGACTCTATCTCATTACATGCAAATAGGATGTATATAATAGTATTTTTTATCTTTACGGTTGTAATTTGAAAGAGCTATATGATTTATTTTTCTAATCACACATCTTTGAAGAGATGAAAGCTTCAATTTATTTCTTAAAATGATTCTTTATGGTTTTTTGACAGCTTGTCTCTCTCTAAGCAATGTGTGAGCAGAAAATCAGATACCCTTGGGTGGGTCTCTCTTTAGGGAATATGCGCACATAGCCTCCATTATAACTGAAGGCAATTGCAAAGGCTCTGCAGGATTGGTGTTCCTCTCCCCTCAAGGCCATTTCCTGTACTGCTTTCACTGTGTCCTCTAAGCTGACTTTTCACTTCCTGACAACTCTGCATTTTAATTCTCCTTTGTTCTTTCCCTTTATGTTTTGTCTCTGAGGAAATGTCCTTTAATGTCTTCCTCAGGCTCCATACATAATTTGAGATGGTTCAAACAATTTTTTCCTTTTCCCTTTACTGGAAGCATTGTTACTCCTTCTGTTTGCTTTCATATTTTCAAATGCTGTCTTTTTATTTTTGGTGGTAATTTTTCTCTCTCTCTCAGGTGTAACATGCCACATAGCTTAGTTTTTTTTTTTTCAAAGTTCACTTTTCCTTACTGCTTCCTAAATCCTCCCAGGTCACCAATATCCGGTATCTTCGCTTCTCCAGAGTTCTTCCACAGATTCTGTTGCTGACATGACTTGAAGTATCCATTACTCATCTGCTCTCCTGGAGCTGCGGTGTACATCTGGGCTGCTCTTGCACTGTTCTCTGTAATGACCTCCCACTTCTGGACTTAGATTTTTGCTGCTAAAAGCACGTTATTACACAGTAATATAACAGCTATTTAGACTAATGTATGCCCAAATAAGTAAATAGAAAAAACGGGCTAATGAAAAGTGCTATCAAGCTTATTAATATTAGCTACTAATTGACGGTTTATAACCACCTCAAATTCTTTTTGGGATTAGGTGGGGTATAAATCTTGAATGAGTAAATAGATGAGCAGATTAAATCTAGTTTAAACTGTGACTTTGACAAGTTAACAAGTAATTCAGATATGTCCCCCAAAATAAAAATATGCAATATTTTACCAAACACAGGTAGAGGAACATAAGATGATCTTTGTGTTTGCATTTCACAGGTTCTCTGCAAGCTTCTCTGTTTTAAATGTCTTTTTTTCAATTGGAATTTCATCCTTTTCAACCTCTCCTACTCCATACCCCTCACTTAGAGGTAATCTCTAGGAAAATATAGTGATTCAATCACTCACATAATAGTGAGAGAGCTATGAATATGTTAATATTATGTTTAGATCAGGGCAATTAAAAGTAATAGCCACATTTTTTTCAGTTATGCTGAAGATGTACATTTTCCAAGGCAAAATGTAATTTGTTTCTCAAGAGAATAATAATTTTTTAGGTGATTCGTAGATTGCCAAATGAATATTCCTATTTAGAAAATAACAAAAGTTTAATAATTTTGCATACCATAAGTACATTCAGAATATTTGCAATATATTGGAATATAAAAGTTCTTTAACTTCCATGTGGAAACTTAAATATAATCTTATTCATTTTGATATATCTTCATAACATGGACACAAGGAACTTTTAGTAGTCAAGTGTTAAGTCTGCATATTATTATATGAGAATACCTGCTATTAATGTTCTCATTTTAAATAGATTTTTAAAAATCTAGTCATCAAATTTTGGCAGCATCTCTTAATTTAATACTATCCCCCCTCCCAAATTCTCTTCTAACTGATTCCATAAGGTTTTTGGATTTATTTTAAATAAATGATTTTATACCAAAAAAGCCATTATTGTCTTGTGAATGTTAAACACAGGAATAAGTTCAGGCAATAATGAATCAAAACTGATGGTTATTAGGCCCTCCTTGTAGTTTCCTAAAAATGAAAACAACTGTGGAACCTGTCTATCTCTGCTAAATATTACCATCATACAGCAGGCCATTGCTCTGCTTACTGGAACACTATCTGGTCAGAGGCTTTGTACTGTCAGTCAGGGTAGGAACTGGAGCCATGATTAAACATTGCTTTTTCTCTCTAGGGTGATGTTCAGTACTGGAGTGTACAAAAGCCAGTTTACCCTGTCTCCTTCGCATTCTGCTACAATAAATGGAATGTAAAGCATTAGAAAACACACCAAAATCAAGACCTGAGCTTAGGAGTAGGTTGATGTGGAAATAGTACAGAAATTAGAGTGAACTCTAAATCTCATTATCTGAATTTTGATTGATAAACAGCTCTGAACCTTGTTTGAGAGAACCTGGGATTTTTGGTTGTTGACACAATATGTGGTTAGAAATAGAGGTAACATAGTGTGCAAAGCCACCCAATAGATCATGAGAATACAACATAGCAGCTTAATAATCATCTCTGCTGGTGGAAAACATATACTGTGACCTGGCAACAAAGCAAATGAGCATTTGGATTTGTGTGTTTTTTTTTATATTCGGATTTCACTATTGTGTTTTTCCCCCCTGTCTTAGGATTTTTGGGGGACTTATTTTAGATATCAAAAGAAAAGCTCCATACTTCTGGAGTGACTTCAGAGATGCTTTCAGCCTGCAGTGCTTAGCATCTTTTCTGTTTCTCTACTGCGCGTGTATGTCTCCTGTCATCACATTTGGAGGACTCCTGGGAGAAGCAACTGAAGGTCGTATAGTATGTATTGTGGTTTTCTTCAGACTTTGCAAATCAGATTTTAAGATTCATAGTTAGATAAGTGAGCGTTAATTTTGGATTCCTTTATGAGGGGAGATTTGATGCAGATGCACTTTATGTGAGTTTTCTGGATGGCTAGTGGAACTGGTAACCTGCAAGTGGACTATCTCAGAACAATTAATCCTGAGTCTTACACACAGTTCTGAGTTCACATCCATGACCTCTAATTCTAGGCTAGCTTCAGAAGCTCTGGTTCTTACTTCACAGGCGCTCCATTTCCCATGTATATAGGTCATGCTTCTATCTAGAGACTTATTATGATTATAAGTAAACTGTTATTAAGCAAAAAAAAAAAAAAAAAAAAAAAAAAAGGAAGGTGGAGATCTCATCCCCATTCACCACCTTTTCTATTGATTGCTGGCCCCTTTTCTTCTCCCTCTACCCCACGTCCTACCCAAGATTGCTAGGCTTCTCATAGCAAAAGAAAAAGAGTATACCCTGATATTTTAAACATTTTCCCCCTGGTTATAAAGTGGCTATGTGTACAGCTTAGATAATAGAATCATTTATGTCTCCACACAGAGTGCAATTGAATCTCTCTTTGGAGCGTCCATGACGGGGATAGCCTATTCGCTTTTTGGTGGACAGCCTCTCACTATATTAGGCAGTACAGGACCAGTTTTGGTGTTTGAAAAGATTTTGTTTAAATTTTGCAAGTAAGTGTTACATACATTTGGTGATTTGCCCCTTTCTATTTCTTTGTTGTATCTCTTCTCCCAACAGCATGTTTAGAGATTTGTATGGAGAGGGGGAAGAGAATTTGATTCAGTTTGCCATTTTTCTCCCTCCATGGAAATAAAATAGAAATAAAAGATTTGTGTGTCGTATTATGTAATATTTATACATGATCATATTCCGTTCTAAGCACTGAGAACCCCCTTACACATTTGTCCACTTAAGATGTTCCCTTTAGACAACGTAGTTCTTTACTCATAGGACATGAAGCTTATTTACTTTCACTTCTGTAATTACTTATTTCCAAGTATTTAAAATGGGGGCAAGCTGTTAAATGACCTTCTTTCACTGTTCTTTTCCTCCTCGTAGAGAATATGGGCTGTCATACCTATCTTTAAGAGCTAGTATTGGACTTTGGACTGCCACCCTGTGTATCATACTTGTGGCCACTGATGCAAGTTCCCTTGTCTGCTATATCACCCGATTTACTGAAGAAGCTTTTGCATCTCTTATTTGTATCATTTTCATTTATGAGGCCCTAGAGAAGTTGTTCGAACTCAGTGAAGCATATCCAATCAACATGCATAATGATTTGGAACTGCTGACACAATACTCGTAAGTACAGTTTCCTCTGTTAGCTATGGGGATTTTCTTTTTACAAATATTACTATTATTGTAAAAAATATTAAAAACTTCCTCGGCAGATAGAATGCCTTAAATTGACTCATGACCTAAATCTTGGATTCAGAGTTGAACAACATTTTAAAAGTCATCTAATTAATCAGTCATTCATTTGGTACTTGAATTCTCTGCCAAGAACAGCTTTTTAAGTTTTATTTTTCAGGCACTCCTTATTAAGTAAATAATGAATCAAGGTCAATTTTACTATACAGGGATTTTGTTTTTGCAAAATATGTGTGATCAGAATCATATGATTTTGATCTTTCTTTACATCCTTTTTGATTTACTATAAATAATCCAAAGAAAGTAAGTAGTGGGAATATAAAATTTCAGATTTAGAGCAGTGAGTTAAAAGAGACAGATAGGGTCTACATTGCATTAGCTTGATGTTTGAAAATAAAATGAAAACATGAGTAAAAATTACTAAATTGAAATGTAATTTTGATTTTGGTACTTACTACATAGTACACAGGTATCACTGATGGGATGAAAGGTGGGACTGGACTTACTACTCTTTCTAATTTTGGTATGTTGTCAGTTTAGAATTTCTCTAAGGCTGTTTTTGCAGAATATGTGTGCCCATTAAATTTGTATTTTCTTTGATTTAATTTTAAGATTTTTTGTTTGAGGTTATGTATATATATTTAGACAGTGAATATTTGAAATGTGGTATTCTTTCCAAAGCAGTTGTAACTCTACATCAACCACCAACACTCTTCTTATAACTTGCTTAGATTTTGTCTCAAATCATTTGAAGATTTGTATTTTCCTGCTATTAGAAGTTGAAATTAAGTAGAAACAGTGCAAATTACAATTTTGTTAAAATTAATTAATGACAGTGTTGAAATAACATGGTTTTTTAGCACTTTTACCTTTTTTTGGTCTTTAGAAATAAGTTTACACAGTGTACTTCTAATTTTGGCCAAGAAAAATCAAAATGGAAATACAAAATAACTTTCCAAATAAAAGCAAATAGTAAGAATGTTGTGCACAAATTTCTGAAAGAAATGAGGGAAAGCCCAGGGACACTCAGAAAGTAGACAGATGGGAAGGACAGTTTGATTAGAATGAGGAATTACAAAGATGCAGGCCTTTTCATTTATCCTTAGTGGAAAAGACAGCAGTACTACCTAATTTGGATATCCTTGCTAGGATATATAATTACCTCTACTTGGATTTTCAAACTGACTACATACCAGACAATATGCTAGGTCTAGGGAAATCATGAATAATATTCTGTCCTTAGTAAGTTTGCAATTTAGAAGGAAATATAGACAGACACCATAATGAAATAAGTGCTGTGTTAGGGGATTGGTAGAGAATGATATGGTGCCGTATGAAAAAGGACTTGAATCAAAGAAGACTTCCTACAAGAAGTAACTTACAAGACCAAAACCCATGGGAGTTAGGAAGGTGTTGATGAATCAGGCAGGAGAGTGGGTCAGATGGAAGGAACGGCATAGGCCTCCATGCAAGAAATTTATTAATGCTATGAACTATTTATTCAAAGTCATATAGATAACAGCAGAACAAGAAATTAAAATCAGGTTTTACACTACGGGATTTGCACATCAAAGACATCTTTACAGACACATCACCCAAAGCAGTGATAGTGAAGAGAAAGATAAACAGCTGGGACTACATCAAATTAAAGAGCTTCTGCACAGCAAAAGAGACAATAACAAAAACAAAGAGAAACCCCACCAACTGGGAGAACATTTTTGCACCCAACACTAATGATAAAGGACTGATCACATCTGCAAAGAGCTGATGAGACTCAGCATAATCCAGTCAACAGAAGAGCTAAAAAGAAACTTCTCTGAAGAGGAAATGCAAATGGCCAACAGACATATGAAAAAATGTTCAACATCACTTGTAATCAGGGAAATGCAAATCAAAACTACCATGAGATACCATCTCACACCAGTGAGAATGGCACATATTAAAAAAACTAGCAACAACAAATGTTGGCGAGGATGTGGAGAAAAAGAACTCTTGTGCACTGTTAGTGCAAACTGGTCCAACCACTATGGAGAGCTGTCTGGACCTACTAAACATAGAGCTTCCATATGATCCAGCAATTCTCCTAGGTATTTACCCAAAGGACACAGAAACATCAATTCCAAAGAGCACCTGCACCCCTATGTTTATAGCAGCACTGTTTACAATAGCTAAGCTTTGGAAACAACCCAAATGCCCAAAAATAGATGACTGGATCAAGAAGATGTGGTACATATATACCATGGAATATTACTCAGCATTCAAAAAAGATAAACACATGCAATTTGCAGCAACATGGATGGCACTGGAAGGGATCATGCTCAGCGAAATAAGCCAAAAAGAAAAGAAAAATACCGGATGGTCTCACTCATAGCAGGAATCTAGAAAACTTAAATAAGACCAGGAAAATGAATATAAGAAAGTGAAAATCAAAATCAACAAAAAAACTATGAACCAGAGACACTAGGGGAAGGATTGGGGTCAGAATGGGGCGTTTGCAATTGTATGGTATAAAAATAAAATTTAATATTAAAAAAAAAAAAAAAAAAAAAATAAAATCAGGTTTTAGGAATCTGATGTAATTTTCAGTACCAGATGAAAACAAATAAGTTCTTCAATGGAAACAATACAGAACAAATAAAACTGGTAAAAGTAGAAATACTCTGTTTGAAGTGTGGAGAAGGCACCAATCGTTACCATTTAAATTGTTCCCTCACCTTCAATGGCAACTTTTAAGGTACTTCAGACTGAGGAACACAATTTAAGATCCCCTGGTCTAGAAAAAGATCAGAGAAACAAGGACTATGTCCTGGATAATGGTCACTGTTTGAAGGGAAAAGGATTAAAAAAAAAAGTAGCCATTAGGTAAAAGATAAAAAAGAGGCATCAGAAAAAGAAAAAAGCCATGGATATTATCGGGGTGTAGAAGGCAAAGGACCAGCCTATCAAGAAGTCTTTCGAGAGGACAGTGGTATAGAGCTCAAACAGATCAAAGAAAAGAGATAGTTGTGAACTTTAAGAAATAATCTTGAGTGGAGAGGGGAGATAAGACTAGAAGCCAATGAGCCAAAAATAAAAGAGTCAACAGTAAATAAATGGGGAGAGTATGCAGCCATTTTAGTGTCAAAGAACATGAAAAACAATGCTTGCTGGAGCAGGCAATGGTGTCACTAGAAAGGTTATTTTTCATAGGAAAGGAAAGGAGGAAATAGAGATGGGAAAGAGTGATTCTAGGTGATGGGGAAAGAGTGGATAAACAAGTGATTGCAACCTGCCACAGTCACAAAGTGATGAAATAAAGACAAATTAGGGGGGTTAGGGAAGACAAATGCTCAGGGGATAATTTGAGAGCAAAAATAGCTTTACACATCCATGATTCCTGCTTGTCATGGTGATCAAGAGGAGAGTGGCAACTTTCTCAATGTTTCCATCTTTGCTTTTTTCAAAAAAGTCCCAAACAAGTTGAAGATGAAGTTGTGTTATGATCACAATGTGCATCTGAGACCTAATTATCAAAATGCTAGGCATGCGTGTGTGTTAGTCATTGTGTTTCTTTGACTAAGTGCCTTCCTCAAGCAAAATGAGGAGGTCAAAGGATTGGAAATACTGGTTCATACTGAGAGGTAGTAAGGTGTTAGTACAGCCTGGTATTGAAATGAGCGTATGAGAAACATGGAGAATAACAATCTCTCTGGGAAATGTCGCCCTGACCAGACATGCTTGCTGCGTTGATCTTCACTTTAGTTTTCACACCACGATTCACTAGTACCACTCAGTTCCTGGACGTGTACACGAACCTGATCAGGTGTTCCATCTGCTTGCTATTTGAAAAAGCAAAACCAACTTTTCTACTGTGCGTGTAATGTGTATTTATATTATTTTACCTTTAGTCATGCAAAAAAGGGAAGAAAACAAGCTATTGTTAATAATAATGGCACTTTAATGTATTGTATGATCTAACACTTTTGTACAAAATTCCCATTCATAAAGTCCACATGACACTTTTTGTAGTTTTTTCTTTTTTCCCTTATCTTTCACACTAATCAGTTTCTGAGTGTCATCATACTCATGTCCTCCAAAATTTTCTGCTGACATGGTTTGTCTTTTTTTGTTTTTTCATGAGTTTTATGAGAAAAGGTCTTAGCAAATATTCATCTGAGATATAGTATATCTTAGATTGCAATCTGCAAACTGAGTGCAACTGTGCTGCCACATATTTGGTTCAGGTATAAAATGTTGAAAGGAGTTATATTTAGGATCTACATTTCAGATATTCTTTATATTTGAGCCTCCGATATTTCAGATTTCCTTTAATCATAGTTTTACCAACCAATAACAAAAAAAAAGTCTTAATTTTTTAGACTCTCCTAGTTCCTCTGGCATCCTAACCTTATAATGTGGTAATATGTAGACCTTATATTTGAAGCTATAAACTTTCCTTTCATTGTGCCAAGAGCAAATGTCAAGATAATCAATTTAGTTTCAAGAATATATACATTACACCAGACGATCAAGCTGAATATGTCAAGTTAGCAATAAGTAATGAGTTTGTGGAAATAACTTTTTCTAGGTTGCTTTGATTTTAACAAATGACAAAAATAGAAATAGGCAATCTGCTTATATAAGATGAAATGTTCCTTCATATAACATATAGTAATAATCTAAAACTATAAATGGTGACTACCTAAAGAAGGAGTAAGGTTGTATTAACTCTGCTGTTACTTGGGTCAAAGCAAAAGCAGCATCTGATGATTACTCTAGTTTCCAATTTATTAACAGACTACAGTTAAATAAATTCCAACAATTACCAAGCTAATGTTGGAGTGATGTCACTACTGGTTATATGAAGGTTTTTTCTTTTCTTTTTTTTTTGTTTGGGGACATTTGCCCTATTTCTTTCTTTTTATCCATAACCCAGGCCTCTACATAGCCCA